AAAGAAGGGTCTAGGCCCTAAACGTCAGCCTTCCTGCTCCTCTGATGCTGCTTGGCCTGCTGTGTTCATCCAGCTCTACACCTTGTTATCTCAGATTCTCCAGCATCTGCAGTTCCTACTATCTCCTGGATCAGAGTTGGGAAACTACCACTGTGCCAAAAGCACCCTTGTTAGCCTGGGGTTCTGGATTACGTGTCCAGTGACATTTCCATTACTTCACCACTTCTCACTAAATCAACCTGTTCAGACATGGTATGGCACATTTCTGAAGACAGGTGGGATTTGAGCTCAGAGCTTCTGGCCCAGAGGTAGGGATGTTGCTACTGAGCCACAAGTGGTCCATTCCTAATTTAAATTGCTCCATTATTAGTTGCCTTTAGTTGTTTAGGCCTAAGTTCTGTAATTCTCTCCTTTTTAACTTGTGTAACTGCTCCTCATTCTTCCTTCAGATGTTCCTTGAAACCTCTTTGGCCAAGCATTTGGTCGTTTGCTCTAATTTGTCTTTGAGTGGCTCCAGTATCTAATTTTGACTTTTTTTTTTACACTGCCATGAAGCATCTTCCAATGTTTGTTATATTAGAGGATCTATATAAATACAAGTAGCTGTTGTTGAATTCTTCATTGACGTTCACATTTTGTGACAGGGCAAGAATGGAATATTTTTTCTCTCACTCGCTTTTCTGACCTTATGTTGTTTCTAGAAGCCATATATTCTTTACTTTGTCACAGTTCTGACCATCCACCGGGGAGGGATTCTGAGATAACATTCTCTTCTCCAGTCAAATTTCACCGAGGCCAAGAGTTGCATGCCAACTGGTGCCTCAATTCAGTTGGCTAATCTAGCGCAGCTTTTATACATTGGGTTTACCTGGTCTGTACAACTCTTAAAATCATGGGATAAATCTGAAACTTAAATCACATGGCCAGCTTTTCAGATAAGTGCTTGCAGCTAAGGTTACAGTATGTAACAGGAACAGATAATGCACAAAGTTACAGTTTTCACTAGGATAGTTTGCCATTATTCCCTGAAGTAAAAACTGTGGGTTGGATAATTTGTGATAAGTAAATTACAAAATTCTAAAAATTATTTTCTATTAAGTTTTGAAGTTACCCAAACTTTGTTCCTTATTTAATTTTCATTTTTAGTTTTCCACCACCCTATTTGTGCTTGACTTTGCTTGCCAAAAGGGCAGTGATTGCCTGAATTCCTAACAAGATTCAACACCTTTAATGTTGAAGCTGATAAACACCTAAAATCCAAACTAGCATCTATTTCCATGTATTAATATACAAACACACCTGTGGGTTTGTATTAGCATATGGATACAGAGGTTAATGCACACACATCTGAATATGTGCAGCTATTTAATTTATGCAGGTTGCCATGTATGTGAACCTAGAGTACTGTACTTCTGAATGTGCAAGTAAATAAGCCAGGTGCAAGAGAATAGGAGCTGTTAAGATAGTGGTCTCTATCCTTCTCTATTTTGCAACTTGTAAAATCTGTGTTAGTATTAATCAAGCAGTTTTAAAAGCTAAAACACAACACAAAGTAGGATTCCTCTAATTTGACCTGAAACTTGTTTCAGCAGGAAACCGAGTTATAAATGCTAATGACATAAATTGAATCGACAAATTACCCTGTGCCCTTTCGTACTGAGTTCCAGTATACTCTCTGGCTCTGTAACTCTACTTGAATTGATGTATCAGTCTTCAGTTGTATCTGCTGTTTGTTTTTGTTTTCTGCAATTACGTTAATTCAGCAGGAATAAAGCAGCCTTTCAATACTTGACGTGCTCATATTGATTTTTATATTATGGGCTTTCAATTTGATTGAAAAACCTTTTAACTGAGGTTTCAACTCCTAGTTCAAGTAGTCAGTCTGGTGCCAGCAGGCCAAAAAATTTAAGGCATGCAATATTTAGATAAAACAAGTTTAAATTTTTATTATATTACATAGCAAGACATACGTTTCTATGGAATACAGGCTATTCAATCTAATGGATTAATGTTGCTGTTGTTTTGTGCTCTAAACAAGCCTCCTGTCACCAGCAGTCCCCCATCCCATATTTGTCTGTCCCAAATACATCTGCTAAACCCTCAGTCATTGTGTGGTAGCAAGGTCCATATTTGTGATGTTCTTGAGTAAGGAAGTTTCTCCTGAGTACCTTATTTTATTGGTGACCATTTTATATTTATCACCCCTAGTTTTGTACATCCTCAAGTAGAAATACCTTCTTTATGGAGGGATATGATAGGATAGACACTAAGTAGAAAAAGACATTGACCGGTCATTGCAGAAAGAAGTTAAGACGGGGCTAGCTGTAGGTTCGTGATGACTGTTTGTGGGTAGTACTCCTAATGCACACACCCCATCAACCACCACATTTCTGCAAACTTGCAAAGTTTTTTATGTTTTGACAGTTGTAGAACGTTATTTCGTTGGTCAAGACATTATTATTTGTTTTAATTGATAAATTAAATCAGGCTTTTCTATGTACAATTTTTGATTTTTAAAAAAAATGGTGGCACAGTTAGGTGCATTCATGTTCATGTAAGTATTTAACCAAATAGCTCATTACAAACTCACTTTTCTTCCAGGGAACTGAATCGCCGCCAGCACAGAAAGCCAGGCTCTCTGCCATTGGTCTCCGAGAAGAAGAAGCACATTGTTGCTGTGGTAAAATAGTTGTTCTGTGAGGGGAAAAAAAGACATCTTAAGCATTGGACAAGATGTCAGAAGTGAATTTTGTTAAAACTAGATGGGAGGTACAAATAATGTTGCCTCAGTCCTTAAGATACTTCTTTCAGAAGCTGGGATAAACATTGGAAATATATCTTCGTTAAGAATTTTATGTATAAGCTGTTTCAGTGGACATATTTAAATTATCTGGATATAAATCTTCTAGTAATGTATCATGTGGAACTAAAACTATGCCAACTATCTAGTAATTAGGATATACTTTGTTATTAAAGCCTTAGTGTTCAATAACTTCTACAAATTCTATTCCTACCTCCTTAATGGTAATAATACGGTATTAAAGTATAGAGTGAAAGTAATTTGAAGATAATTGAACTCTCTTAAAAATTACATGTTATGTAAATAATCTTGGAAAACCTTAGTTTCAAGAAATGGTTTATGACTTAATTGACAAATAAATGAAAATGTTTAAGTATCCAATTCACATTTCATGTTTTGTCTTTTGATCAAATGATCATTTTATGCTTTCTAGCCCTCACTTGCATAAAAATTCAAAATTTGAGCTTATCCCATTCATTTCATATACTGATAACCATGAAAAGATACACTTAATACGTCTATTTATTGTTATGCATTTTATTGTCTTAACGTTTATAAATACTTTTAAGAAGAATTATCTATGGATGCATTCTCTGGAGACAAGTAAATTAATCACCCCCAAAACTCAGTACATAAATCTTTTTGATGCTTTCTTTCTACCTCCTTCACTGATGTAATAACCTACTAGCATAATCTATTTGAACATGCCCTAATCAGTTATGGTCTGAGACCTATCATGTCCAAGACCATAATCCTAACAGCACAGGATGCTATTACATCTGTGTCAGTTATGACTCAGTAAAGAAAAGTGATTGTATATTTCATTTAAAGATTATTTTGAAGTAAGGATGTTCTGCACAGCATTTCCAGTAACATTAAGCTATTTCCAAAGAAGGTTCGTGAAAAATGGCTGTGGCAAACTTAAAGGGCACAAGCCAGTTCAATACCTCTGCAATGTGTTTCCAATCTTTTTGATCCATCTTTTTGTGCTTACTATCTGTCGACATTTAGGATATCATTATCCCTTCTCTGCTGTGTGTTTTCTTTTGATCCAGCCAATTACTGGCCGCAATGGAAAACCTGAGAGAATTACCTATTTTAAGGAATGGTAAGGAGGCCAGGCTCTTCAAGTTGATACTCATGCTAGCATCTGCAGACGAAAGTAGCCTGTCCTTACTCTTGCAGCTATTTAGTGCGTGAGGTACCTAGTCACCAAGGAAACTAGGGCAGGAGATCTTGCAATGTTACTAAAATATAACTTAAGGCAGGATATAACTTTGAAACACCCAATCATGGTGTTTCACATTTTCAATGGTATTATAAGGGAAGATGACATGATGACAGTTATGGCATGAAAAATTAATTTCTGTAACTTGCAGGAGCGAAAATGGGTCTGTGGAGTGCAGAGAGGACACCCTGCATGAAGTCTTCTCGTACAGGATCATGTCCACTTCAGCAGCCATCAAATCAGTATTAGCTGCTGTCATTTGTCGACAGACTAACACCTGTCCTTCAGATTTTATTTTTCTTTATGAAATCTTGTCATCCCTTGTTCTGCTGTCCTGTAAACTGTCACACAAAGTCCTATGTGTTGAGATGCATCCAAACCTTTCCAGAAATTGTCAGCAGTTGTTGTCCCCCATTAGACACACTGTTGTTACTCCCTTTTTTAAATTTAAGTTATAGATTCTCCTGCTATATGTGTTCCTTTTGACCTATCCGTATTTCTGTATTCTGTATCTGTAATCTGTATTTCTGAAAAAAATAGTTTTAATCAACCTGTTCAGTTATGTTATGACACACATCTGGGCTACGTGGGATCTGAACATAGACCTTCTTGCCCAGTCCACTACCACAAAACCACAAGGCCCTCCAAATCTGCACTTTAGTCCACTTTAAATGCGTTGAATGAACTAACATCATAGAGTATGGATGAATATCTAATTTGCTACAGACCCATTGGCTCTAAACTGGCCTTCACAGGGGTTTGGTCTCTTTAAATTTTCTTAATGTGCATTTTAATTGTTTTAATTTGTATTCCAAGCACACATTCCGGGACGTTTTTTAAATTCTTTCTTCAGATGTGGTATTGCTGTCCAGACCAGCATTTGCTGTCCATCTCTATTAACCCTTGGCATAGCCTCTGAAATGGCATAGCAAGCCGCTGTTAAGTGTGAGCCACGTTATTATGGGACAGGAATCGCATGTAGGCTAGACCAAATAGGGATGGAAAATTTTCTTTGTGCGTCTGATGGGTTTTTAACAACAACATTTAACTGTTTTGACGCTGGCATGGAATCTTATTGCACAAATTAGCTGCTACATTTGCATGCATAGCAACTATGGTTACAGTTCAAAAGTAATTTATTGCTTTGAAGTTGTTTGAAACATAGAATATTGCAACATGCATCATATAAATGATAATTCTTCCTTTCATGGGAAAATACTGTTTGATACAGATTAACTTGGAGGAGGAGGACCACTTGTTCCTAACCAAAGTTTTATGAACATGACCACCTAGTAGCTTCAGAACATAGTTAACTTCCTTGATCTTGATCTTAATTTTTATCAGATGGGTTCGATACTGTTCTTTAAGGGAAATTCTTATTTCTACGTTTGGGTTTAAGATATCATTTTGGCAGATATGGTTGTGACAAAGTGTAGTTTTATTTGAAATTGAATGATGGAAATTGCCTGTTGTGTGCAGCAGCACCCATGGTAAAGCTTAGTAATCACTAAGCTGTTCCCTAGAGGGTACTTGCTTTATGGTCTGGCCAATATACATACCTCAGGAACGGACAGAGGCCTGTATGATCAAGAAGTCCTTGGAAAAATTCCTTCATGGAAAGGAATTACTGATCCCACAAGATTGTGGATGCTGATTAGCTGAGTATAGTTGAAACTCAGATTGACCGACTTTTGGTCTTCCGAAAGCAAAGGATAAGGAAAACCAACAGGGAAGTGAAGTTGAGGCAGAAGATGATAAAAATCAAATTACATTGCGGAACAGACTTGAGAGGCCCTTTGATTTACCCTATTTATTTGATTATAAATATCCAAGATCTGATTACTACTATAAATGGAATCAAACCTGAATGGATATTGATGAGAGATTAAATGTTGATGTATATTTAAATTTGTGACTAGATCCTCATAAAGCAAAAGATGAGCTTTAATATGCTAATTGAATGCAACAGCAATTTTCATTTAAATAGCACTTCTAACATCGTGAAACATCCCAAGGTGCTTGACTTTCATTTTATTGTCCAAACAGAAAATTTCATATGCAAGGTCATTTTGGGCATTGCTCATTCCTTGAAAAATTTCATACAAGTAACTAAAAACAACATCCCCATTCTGAGTACATATTCTCATTCATACATCTTGTTAACAGTTCTTATGGAGAAGGGCATAAATAAGTTCAGAAGCCGATTTGTCCTGCATCTGACGGATTATAGCTTTTCCCTGAACCGATCCAACAATATTACTGAGAGAAGGATTGATTCACGTTGTTCATGATACTACTTTTGCCATAATTCTTCAAGTGCTGATTTTTGTCAAGTCTAGTTCTTCAAAAACACCTGCCTGGTTTAGTAATCTATGTATCTTCTAGACAGTCTGCTCTCCTAAGAGAGCAGCACCAGCAATACACTCAGTTGAAATGTGTTTTGTGATTGTAGGGGTCTACTCAAAGATTTGAATCATCTGAGATGGTATATGATAGGTAATAATTATTCACAGGAACATTATCAAATAAACTTTGATCTTGAGCTATGTAAGGAGACGTTAAGGTCAATGACCAAAAGCTTAGTAAAAGAAGAAGATAATGGGGCAGGTGGGTTTGGCAATGGAATTCCAGAGCTTTTAACCATGGTAGCTGAAGGCATAGTCGCCAGTGGTGGGTTACTTTAACTCAAGGGTACAGGTGAGATCAGAATTCAAGGATCACTAATACCTGGAGATTTGCAGTGTGTCATGACTGAGTGAGGAAGGGTGAATCAGTTTCACTGTTTTTTTAACTCCCTCCTTGGTTGAGCACAACAAACATAGCTATAACATGTCCGTTAAAGCAGCACTAGTTAAAGAGCAGATTACAAAGTTTCCTTGAATGAAAGAAAGAGGAATTTTATTATTTACTAACCCCAAGAAAAAAAGAATAAAATGCTTCATTGAACACAGGCACAAAAGGTGTAAGGTTTAAAAAGGAGTAACTGCCCAGTATAAACAGGGACACTATACGCTTTGCAGGCTATAAGTGTTTACAGTCCTTGAAGTTGTTTTTATTCATTTGTGGGATGAGGGCATCGCTGGCTCGGCCAGCATTTGTTGCCTGTCCTTAATTGCCCAGAGGGCAGTTAAGAGTCAATGACATTGCTGTGGCTCTGGAATCACAAGTAAGCCAGACCAGGTAAGGATGGTAGTTTCCTTCTCTGAAGGACATTAGTGAATCAGATGTGTTTTTTTTCTGACAATTGGCAATGGATTCATGGTCAATATTAGACTCTTAACTCCAGAGTCTCCAGAATATTACCTGGTCCTCTGGATTATCAATCCAGCAATAATGCTATAAGGCTAGCGCCTCTCAAGTGTTAAAGTTTTATCCTGAGACAACAGTTGTTAAAGTCAAATCCCTCAGGATCTTGTATGTTTTAATTAAGTCACCTCTGACTCTTCTGAACTCCATAGGATACAGGCCTGGCATGTTAAGCCATTCCCCATAAAGCAATCAGCTAATTACAGATATTAGTGTATCAACAGCTTCCAGCATATTAACATTCTTCTGTAAGTACAGTGACCAGCACTGAGTACACTACTCCAGAAGTGAAGCCAGCAACAACCTGTATAACTCAAGCTTAACCTCCCTGTTCTTGCACTCAATTTCCCTTGCAATTAAACAACATTC